TCTATAAAAAAATTCATACATATATTTAGTTTACTTTAAAAAAACGTTAAATAGATATATATTAATAAAGAAGATGGACGTATTTAAATGACAATTGAAATTATTATTGGTATGTTGAGAAGAGAATAATTGTAATGGAGCAACCTATTCGCTCTGGTTTAATTCAAAGAATGACCTAATACATTCAATATGAACAGAAAAATATCAGACCGAAATAGCATTAAAAAAGAGAAAAAGAATAAATGATGTGTATACACATGAACATATGGGCTCGACGGACGTCCTCAGATACGGACATGACGAGTGATGATGTATGGGATCGGTCACAATAATATCTCTTGATAGTTTTGCTTCAGTCATATTATCGCGAATATTTCCCAGCCATTCGCAACTTGAGAAAAGAAAAGTCTCTGTTCAATCTGTAGCGTTTATTGACCTTCGTGCTTCACTCTTGTGACCTTTTCACCGAGAATTGACCTTCTCTCTTTGCTCTCTCCTGTGTGATCACATCCATATAAGTTGCATTTAATAAAGGAAAGACACAGTTGTGAGTGTGCAGATGGGACAAGACACCATCGTGCCAAAAGGCATAGGCAGTCACTCTCACAATTCATCACACAAACAATCAATATCTTTCTTTTGTTTTCTTCTCCGAGAAACGATTACTCATTTTATTATTATCCGATAAAGGTGTACATGTAGTGTTGATAGACAACTGTCTTTAAAAAAGTATTGATTCACAACGTTTATTCTTCATATTGAGGCGTTTGTAGTATCCTTTTGATATTAAATGACGACGATAAAATTAGTTTATCCAATCGTTGGTCACTTGATCTTTTGAGTGAAAAAGTTCGAAGTTCTTTTCTCGCATTGATATGTAGAGATCAGATCTTTGGTATTTAAGAATGTCACATAAATAAAATTAAGAAGACCTTAAAATTATTACGTTTTGACACCTAACTTTGTTTTATTGAACTATAGATTAGGGGTGTCGACTTAACATTAACATTGTATTAAATAATACTAATTGTAATATTCTTGTATTAGGATTAAAAAAGGAATTTAATGTTTTTGTGTTAGTGTTAAAAAGAATAACTTTATGCTTTGACATTAGTATAAGTTAGGATTAGCATAATGCAGATACTTATCATAATTTTGTAAGCATTTTGCAGATGTATCAATTTAGTTACAATATTAGGGTTAGTCTAGTCGAATTCTTGTAGTGTTTATATTAGAAAAAAAAATAAATGAAACAGCTCGAATGGGCTGAGTCGGACCATGCAAATTAGATTCATAGTGATTACCATGACATTATTTTGACATGATTATTAAACTATAATCCTATAGAAATTACTGAGTTCAGGGTACCCATGTACTGAGTACGTTTCAGCGAGGTACCCGATGTGGGTACTTTTGAAACTTATCAGTAACTTAACTGTCACAGGTACTGGCTCAGGTACCTATAGCAGTATATATACTGAACAATAACTGACGTGGGTACTTAGCTCAGTAAATTTACCAAGGAACATCTAGCAGGGTACCTAATTTTTCTTTTTTTTTCATGATGCATTATACAGAAACAAACACATTAGTGCACACTAGCAAAAAATGAATTTTATAGATTTAATTTCGTCGTGTAAGATTTTCATTATCTCTTGAAAAGTTGTTTTTAATTTTATTTAAAGCGACACTCAACAAGTCGAGGCAGAGATAAAATGTAATGGCGATTGGTGCATTTTCCCTAAGAAAGAAGACCGTTGTGTGCAAATAGCGAAACGATCAATATATGAATTTATTATATTTAGACAATCATGACGTTTTATTATTTTATGAATATTTATAAGAATAATTTTTTGGCTTATTCTATAAAAATTCATTTAACAAAATTAGTCAGATAAAACCGCTCACGTATCTACACACAAAAAAAAGAAATCAATAAGTAAATTTTGTACATTCTTATAAGTTAGAGCAGGAATCATTATTTTGATTTTTCATTTGAATATTCTTCATGAAATAGAGCATATGTCTTTCTTTTTTCCTTTATGTGCATGTCGATCTGATGGACGACTGGCAGTCACACGACGTTCATCAAGTGGATCAAACCAATTATCAATAGGACCCATTAGTATTTTGACAACATACTTAAAAAGAAAAAAAAAGCCAAACTTCTTTTATTAATTAGAAACAAAAAAAAATTATATTTACATACATCACCAAAACTAAATGGAAAATTTTTTCCTTGTACTTTACGAATTTCTTCTCTTTCTGATCTATAATCATCAGCAACATCCAT